TGCCAAGCGACGAAAACCCAACCCCGATGGCAAACACCGGGGGGGGCGGGGGGAAGTTCCACTGCTTCGGCCGTATGCATAAAACCGGTTTGCTGTGCATGCCACAAGGAAACAAACCCAACAGAGCCTTTGCCCATCGGCGTCATCATGCAGTACATCCTTCCGTCTTCGCGACGCAGCATGGTAAAAGCAGTTTCTCTTGTGGCTTTACAAGGTGACGGAGAATTTCGCATCACTGCCAGCTTGATAAACACCGCACACACAAAATCACAAGTAGCACATACCCGGGTCTGCGGGAGGAAGCACCACGCGAGGAAGGCCAGCTTCAGCGCGAAGTAGAAGGGGATCCAGTGGAGGAGAACGGACAAAAACGCTTCCAAAATGCTGAACGCCGCGAACACAATCCAGTAGGTGAGCCTGCGCGGCCACGGAAAGGACATGTACGGATTACGACAGGAGGTAGTTGAGGTCACCTATACAGCGATGCGTGCGGGTCTAACGCGAAGGGAAATATAAACAAACCGCTGCTGGAATGTGTGCCGAGTACAAAATGCAGCAGCAGTAGCGGCGACATTGGGTAGGGATACTCGAAATTGCTGTCGTTCCGGGCTCCAAGGCTCGTCCGTAGCGAATACTCTGACATTTTTCACACAACGCCTTTGTGTCTAATCGGGCGTTCCTTCCACTCTCGCGGGATGAGCTGAAGGCAGGCATCGCAGGAACAAAGAGTGGAGAGAAAGAAAAAGGCTCCTCGCGCGGTTGCCTTCCCGCTGCTGTTATGTGGCCCCGGCTGGAGCGTCACACACGTACCGAACGGTGTGTGGACTGGTGAGTAGACAAGAGGGGCCCAAAAACAGACGCAACAATGTGTACAGCGGTACGTGTCTCACTGCTGGTCCCCCTCGCGATGTCCAACGTTTTCGGGACGTGGGGGAGTTTTTGCTCACAGGATTCTGCAACAGGAAGCCTGTTCCATTTAGATCCCAGATGGAGTGTGACCACGGCCCGAAAGCAGAATAATGATGGTCTGGAAAGGACACGAACTCGGGGCTTCAGCCCGCTGCGGCTTTTCAACAGGAGTTTGAGATACACTTTTGATACAAGCGAAAGGATCCCGCACACGGTCTTGTAAGGTATCCGAGAGACAGCTTTTGTCTCGGAGTTCATGGCAGGCTAAATGGAACAGATTTCTGAACATAACTCCAGCCGTTCGGGCCGGAGGACTCCCAGAACAGCACGAAATGGACAGAGCGGCGCGTGTGACTTACTGGGAGACTGCCCGTGTTGATGTTGGTTGCCTCTACTTGCACATGTCGAAAAAAAGAGGTCTGACCTGCATCTGCTGGGACCTCCGCTCATTTACTCTTGAAACGTAAAACGATATTTATGGTGAGCTGAGATCACGTGGATAAGAACTACCTTAGTCGAGAAATGTACCTAGGTTAACAGATGCAATGGGGCGAGAGCACGCGATCATCCTTCAACGAAAAAAGCAATAACCGGCAGTCCGTGCAGTACGATTGGACATCAAGGCCTGCCACTTTGACATAACCCCGTTGACAACGCATGCCGACAGACCGGCCTCAAAAGGCAAGCCCGAATCATTGCTGCTGTTGTTTTTAGAAGGGAGCAATTCGAAGTTTACGGCAACTGCCCGAACACCCGTTCAAGAGAGGCGGGGAGATGGCACCCCCCCCCGCACACTCTCAAAGCCTTGATTGCTTCTCAACCAAGTGGATGCTGAGCGAGTCCGATGCAATACGTCAAAGGAAAAGTCGTCGACGAAGTGCTTCATCAACCACCATCTATCGTGTTGGCACTATCTTGATTGTGAAACAATCGATCCTTGCGAATTGGACGGGGGATGGGTGCCATGACTCTGCCTCCCACGGTTCGACAGCAGTCGAAAGGCGGGTGTTGAAAGTCGTTGCAATGAAATGGGGAGAACCTGCTGGGAATTGGGCATATTTTTTTGGTCTGGGAAGCCAAATGCACTGATTTTATCAGTGATGCCAACAGGTGCTTGCTGTAAGGTTTTGATTGGGCCGCGTGTGTGCGTTACCCATGTTAAAGGAGAACACCCAAAAAAAAAATCCTGCAGCAGTTAAGAAAACAACGCACAACACGTCGCTGCTCCCATTCGTGTGTCGGCATCAAATCACCGCCCTGTTCCGGCAGGCTGTTGATGTTGCTGTTGTAGTATACACATTTTAAAGCAGTCCGGATCTCTCTACCTAACACCTTCATCTACGTACTAGCCTGACACACGACGCTGTCGATTTCAGTGGTTGATTACCGTATCTAGTGGATGCGGAAGATACCACATCCTCTGGCCGGTTTACATAGCTCGTCACCTCACGACCAAGGAATGCCAAAAATCGTTTGATAGCTTTTCGGAAAGCTCTCGACAAGGCGCTTGCAACCACGCAATGCGTCCTAGTTCTTGCTGCAAAGTATAGGCAGGGCCCAGGACCACCCCACTTGACTTCAAAAAGAGGAGGGCGAAGAATGCGATGCTCTGCTGTTGCGTGCGAGACATTGTGCAGTGTGGGGGCGAACAAACCGCACCCACCGTACGCCCCACTCGCTCCGTCCTTTACAGTTTAGACCACCACATATTTCCATTTTATTGGCACGTGCCAATAAAGGAAGGGCTCATAGGCGGGCAAGGCAACGGTGCTCTTGACACGCAAGCAATGCTTGCTCGCTGCTCACCACTGCGTATCGTCCTTGGTGCTGGCGCTTTCGATGGCCTTGAAAGAGCAGTAGGCCGGGTACACGTATCCCCCCAGGTTGCTTCGCGGGTGGGCGAAAAAACAGAGGCAGGCGCGCGAGCAGAGAAGGCAAACAGGAGGGAAACGTCTACAACGTTGGCGCCCGAGTGCGTAGCAGTCTTCACGGCCGTTTTTATCTCCTTCACGTCTGCGATTTAAAACACCGGGTGGGCGTGGCTGTTGTGTCTGTTATGCAGCAAGAAAACACACACCAGCCACCACCACAAACACCACCACCAGCCCTCCAGAAACTCTCCACCTCTGGACATGGTCAAACCGCCGAAATGAGCGGCATTTTCCTCTCGGGTCGTTGGGCACGCCAAGACGCCCACATGCTTCGCTCGACAGCCGCTGGCTATTTGCCTGCGCTGCTGTTGCTGCGCTATTTTGCTACAGCAGTGTAGACAGAACACAGAAAGAGCGCGCGAGTTCCTAAATTGCAATTTCCTTCCTCACCAGATCAGGCTCGCGCCGAAGCCCATCAGAAGGCAAGACAACAGGATGGACCCGGCGCCAAGCACGAGATATTGCTTCGGGCAGTTGGTCGTCTCCTCCGCCTTGCACAGGATGGGGTACTTGCCCAGATCCTTCCCGAACTTGTCCAGCATGGTGTTGAGCTTGTCCATGGCTGCTGCTGCTGCTGCTGTTGCTGGTTGGGTGTTTCGTTTCTTTCGTCACGCGTTGAGAGCAGGTTGCTGTCCCTTCTTCAGAAAAAAGAGTTCAAGCTGGTGACGGGTGAAGGAGAGAAAGGGCAGCAGGGGGCGAGCAAGAGACGGAACGTCACCGGCAAAGAGAGAAAAACTAGGTTAGGCGCGGGTAATCGAAGGGGCCATGGTTTTGATGGTACCACGTGGCATAGAGGCGTCATCAGGGACCCTGGAAGAAGAGGAACAGGCTACTTCTTCGCCGTTGCACGTCAATCGGCGGCGTAAAAAGGGGAGCCGGTGGAAAACAGCACACGCCGCTGGGAATAAATACGTTGCCTAGGGGGATGAAAGGCAAACTGCAAGGGCTTTCGGGCTATGCCTAAAGCGAACCTCCGGGCTTACCTTCAGCGTTGTGCGCGGTCAGGGACAAGCAAAGGGGAGGCCAAAATCGGTGTTGTCGCTTGCACGGTCAAACAAAATCATTTGCACCAAACCGGCCAGAGGGATTCTTCAAGCGGGGATGATAAATCAGTGTCCCCGAGGTGCAGTCTCTGGTCCTCGGTTGTGCCGCGTGTGCCCGACTGACCTGAGGCACAAGGCACAAGACTTGCGCGGATACAAGCACAAAACCCCCTCTCCCAGTCCTTACTTCACACATGGCGTCGAGATTCAAGCGTCAGCGAGGTGAGATAATTTCTTCCATCAGAAAAAAGTGCTCCCAATACAGCATCCCTTGTAGTCAACGGAAGTTATGCCGCAGTGGCGAATTACCTTATTTACACAGCAGGTACGTAGATATGCGTACACATGTACTGCTGCGGTAAATGTGTCCTGCATTCCCAGTCTAATATTGAAAAGGCTGGGAAATCTTCATAGCTTTACCTCGAGACCGAGAGTTCGCAGCAGTATCGGATATTACTGTAAATTCTGACCTATACTATTGTAGCTGCTCTCTTGCGTTTGTAAATTGTGGTATGTGAAAAGCGTCTTGGTAAACGTTGAGAGAGGTATGTAGCGGGAACCAAGGACTACAACTTCCCACTAACCAGCTGCTGTTGGGCAACAGGTAGAGCAGCAGTAGTATATTGTTGTCATGCAAGGGGCCGGCGATTTAAGATCAGCTCCCGCTTTGTTTTAGGAAGCGTGCAGGTGCGCAGCACCTCTCTCTTCTCCGTGAAGTACTCGGGGTATCAGGAAGGTTCTGTTAGACGCGTAACCACGACGAAGCCGCTTACCCACCTCTCCACCCCCCCCCCCCCCCCCCCCCC